TTCGGCACAAATTACTAAATTGACAGAGACGTGTCGTCTCACCTAATCTAAATCCTAAGCTACCAAACCATATTTTCTGCCCCATTTTTTGGATATTGTAAAAGGTACATGCGCCTTTTTTTCTTTCTTAGAAATTATTTTCTACTGTTTTTATGTTTAATTAATTATTTTCATTGGGCATTTTTAAGAATGTCCAATTTTAAAGGTATAAGTTGAAAAGTGTCCACTCATTTGAATTTAGTGTCAATTTATCTATTATGCCCTTAATGAAAAGCTATATTTTGAAATGATATTCTCAATATTTTAAATGTCGTTCTCGACATTTGATTTTTTTTATCAATTTGTCACGAATTTTAAGAAGTGGCTTTCATGAGAAGCTACATTAAAATAATATTTTTCTACATTTTATACGTCATTTCATTTGTTTAGAATGACATTTCATTTGTTTAGAATGATATTTCATTTTAAACATGACATTTCTCTACATTTAAAAATGTCGTTCTCGACATTTTTGAATCAATGAAAAACATAGCATTTATTAAGATTTAACATGTATACTTTTTGAAATAAATATGGTAGATTATGTGTCAAAATTTTATTGGTCAATGACAATATTGCAAAAATGTCCTTTTTTTGGTCTTAATGTGGAATTATAAATTGTTAATAAGAGTATTTTGGTCTAAATTCTTCCAAATTAGACATTTTTGCAAATGACTAGGTAAAAATGGATATTTTGTGAAATTTCCTCTATTTTCATCTATGTTTATTCATAATCAACGTCAAGCTTATAACATTGATCTTTATACAAATTGCTTGGGACATATAAAATAAACGAAGTGGCAAAAAAGATATATGTAACTCACATCAAATTTATAGAGAATAATAACTAGTTTCTAACATTGATATACAAATATCCACTTCTAAAAGTTATGAAAACACTATTTTTAACATCAGTATTAGGAATGGTTGTAATTAGGACAATGTTTTTGAATCAAGTTGATGTATAAAATTAAATACAAATAAGTTCACATTATATTAGATTTCTCATTTAATGTTGACGAAGAATCAAATTATCACTATGTTTGGTACTTTTTCTAGTTGTGATTTCAAATGCATCCTATTGGTTTGACTCATATGAAATAAATAGATTCGAAACAAAATGTATGAATTCCCACCATATATAATAGAGAGAAATGATCTACTAAGTCTTAGAATTTGGGCATGATCCGAATTCTTTTGATGAAAATAATTGAGAATCTTAATTAAAGTGCACATTAAGAAGAATTCTAATTGGAATGCTTTTGGAATCCTATTCTAAATCTATTGATAAATTCTAGTTCAAATTCTATTTGAAAGTCCTATTGAAAGTTGGAATTTGCGTTGGATTTAAATAGATCAAAATAAGAAAAATTTTGTGCATTTTATTTAATTTACAATTCTGCTTCTAGGGCTTGGATTGTCCCTATATTTATTTTAATATTCTTCCAGTTTATGTATTGTTGATATTGTATTTTTCTCTCCATTACTTGTTAAAAATAAAATTACTCAATTCTTCTGCCAATCTTTCTTCTTGCTTTTAATCTTGTTCTTGTTTGTGCTATCAATACTTCATATCGTATCATATTTGCCCCCTCTCCTTTTTTTCCCAACACTAAGTACCGTTATTTATCTTATATTAAGCAACAATGACATGACAAATCAATTCAACAAATTTATTTTAACTTTTGGAACTAATTTTAAACTTGTTCACTAATTAATTAATGTAATTAAGTCACAATACTTGGTAGATTATTTCTTTCTATATGTAATGTTCATATTTATGGATATTGAACTTGATTAGTTGTAGAAATACATCTATAATCTTATTCTCAAGCTATTTTCACTGCCTTTTTTCCCCTTCAAATTCACGGTCATTTTGATTAGTGTTTACTGAAAGAGAAATGATGTTTGTTATCAGTGTTTACCCATTAACATATATGTCATAATAAGGTAACCAATAGATTTTTAATATAAATTTGGAATGCACTTAATTCATTAAAGAATGTCGTAGTGACCTACTCTCACATGATTATTATTGAGTTTGCAATCGTTGTAAACTATGTATTTCATGATATGCATGCATCAATAACTATAAATACTATTTATTATAGTATTCACAAATGCAAGGCCAATAAGGGGTTTTTTTTTTTTTTCTTCATCATTTTTTGTCACGTATTTTGATCTAAAACTTTAGATAGGATGGGGATTGTAATTGTGTTCAACGGAGTTATTTCTTTTGTTACTTAATCTCTGCAATAGAATTAATTAGGAATTTAAAAGTTGAGACAAGCAGTAAACTTTCAATAAATTAACACTATCCACATTTTAGGGTTGAGGAAAATATGGTAAGTTAATGATATTGTATATTAATATTATAAACTTATAGAAACATCCTAGTTTCATTCAAATTCAACTATTACATAAATTAATATACAACTAAATCCCATATTTTTGAATGGAGTAGTTTAGTCCATTGATTAATGTAATGTTATGTTTCAGAACTAAATTTACATTGCTTAATACGTATAGCAAGAAGTAGACATATAGCTCCAATGAAACCTAGTACTCAAAACTTATTGCCATGAACCCATGAATGGAAGCCATACAACATTAAGCACAAAGATATGATTTCTTTGTTGGATCTTAAACATAAACCTAATTTTTATCGACACCAGAATGAAGTAACCATCATTGGACGATAGGCATGCGATGTGCCCAAGAAAATGCCAAACTTTTGACTCTCTTTTATATCTTCTCCTAAAATCATGAAATTTATCATAATAGCTAAATTGATATTTCACCTTTCGGTATCCACACAAATTTCAAAACAAATTTTCAGTTTTAAGGATACTACAATCTTGACTATGGTACACGTTGCAACCTAGTGTATATTGTTAAAAGAGTCGATATTTTGTTCGGGGAGAATGTTCATTTAGAGAAAAATCACCGTTGAAGTTAATAATCATCACTGGCTTTGGCAAGCAAACAACACATTGTCGATGATTGCAACCGTCATTGATGACATTATGGTTTGATAATCTTTGACAGATGTGAGTTAGTGATCATCAACAGTATTTCATCGACAATCCCATCTGAATCACCGACTTATCTGTATGTAACACTATAAAAAATGAATAAAATTATATTTGAAGTTAACATTTAATAACCATTAAAAATATAGAAATAAAAAAATTTCTTCGATGATATTGAAGTATTTATGCTAGAAACCAAAGTATTGTTGATGATTGTTGATATCACCGATGACATTGTTATTGAAATTCATTGAATAAGATTCGTTGGTAATTACTGACGTTATGGTCAGCGATCCAACTAAATCAATTAATATCATTGATCATTAATGACAAAATATATGTAAATGATTATTTGTCCCATTATTATTTTTATTATTATTCTTCAAAATGTCACGTTAATAGTTTTGCCTAAAACCCTTAATTACTTGAGACATCTTTTAGCTGCTAAATGAAATAGGCTATGTTTGATAGCCAAAGGTTTTCATGGAGCTTGGAAAATCAAGTCCGTTTTTCAACTTTTATAATGTTTGATATGATTTATTTTCATGAAAAACCTTTTAATTTTGGGTGCCACTTAGACGTTTTCTATGTAATTGGTGAGAATTTATTTTCCTAGTTACTGTAATGATTTTTTTTTCTTTTTTAACAATAAAAACAAATTATAAGAATTATTGTAAAAAAATATGTTCGTTTAATTGACAATTTTCATGTAAATAAAGTCAAACGAACACCAAAAGATAGATGATTTTCTTGATTTTTTTTTTTTTTTGCAATGGTAATAAATTCTATCCCTAATATCAATATATTTTATCCCTTTAATTGATAATTTTTATATAAAACAAAGCCAAACGAATACCAAAAAATACTTTTATTTCAATATTTTTACGTAAAAAATTATACCAATCAAACACAATAAATTTTCAATTTCCTGAAATTCGTTTTGTTTCCACCCAAATTCCATTTTGCAATCAGACAGACCATAATTGGATCAATTTCGAACAGTGGCGTGAGAATTGCTTCATAGTACTTTTTTTTCCTGGCTCGAACTATGCTTTTCTACCTTTCAAATAAAGAAAAGTGGGCCCTTTCACACCGCGGTGAAGAAAATGGTCTACCTGATGCCCAATTTTTTGACTTTTGAATATCAAAAACGGTTAGTCCAATTTCTTGATCTAAGCAACTACGCAAAAATTGGGTAAATCTAGTCATAAAGTGGATTTTAAATTGACTTTTGAATGGACCAAACATTATTATATGACAATACAAAACTCTTATTGAATTTGTTTAAATTGGATTAATTTTCAGATTTCATCAATTAAGATAGAGGGATTTTCTTTTATTACACATTATTATAGATTCTTCTTAATATTTTGTGGATATAATTGTTATGACTATTCCATTGTTGTTATTCACCTATTCTTAAATTAAAATAATGTCAATATTAATAATATAGAACACAAATAAATTATGGATTTTTTAATAAAAATGTTTGATCACGAGTTTTTGCACGGTGCTTACAAATTATTAGAATGTGATTATTTAAATTTAAAAAGCATATCATCTAGAAAATTTAAATTAGTCTAGTTTTATTTCGTCCATTATCGAAATATATTGAGAGTATATTTTTAACATATATATTTTGCTACACACTTAGCAGCCAAATTTACTTTAATTCCAAAACCATATTTCTCACTTTCTCTGTTAAATATAATTCAAAAGGATACATATAAAAATTGAAACTCAATTAATTAATCAGATTTAGTAATTAATTATTGTCATGCTGACCAAAAGCCGAGGAGTAAAGAATACTTACCGATATAACACAATAATATGAAAAGAAATTAACAAAATCTAAGAAAATTAAATAAAGATAAAAGTTGACAGGGATACCAACTTTATATGCATTTGTATACGGAGATAGAGAGAGCTGTATGTATCTGTATGTACAACGGGTAAAGTATTAATATTTTAATGTAGTTGAGAAGTGAAAATGAAAGCTATACCGGGTAGGACGGGAAAGAGAGAGAGAAGAACCGGTGGTGGTGTTGTAAAAGAAGCAGAGGGAGCAAAAAATGGTAATGGAGATGCGAGCCAACACCATTACCAGTGCTAGTGTTAGAAAGGGAAACTTCTCTGTACTCTTCCTTTTTCTCCTTTTCATTCTCATTCTCTTCATCCTTTAAATATTGAATTTAATCAGATAATACACTTTTTTGTTTTGTTTTACCTTTATCTTTTCGACATCAAGATTTAATTTTTTTCCTCTAATGTTATTCCAATTCTAAACATTTGAAATAAGCCAATATCTTTCTTGTTTTTGGATCAGAGTTCTGTGTTTTGGTTTTTAATTGGTAAGGTACTTTTGGGGACTGAATTGAAGAACTTTCTTGATACTGTATTTATTGGCAGACTTCTTTGTTGACAATCTTAAGTGGGTTTTTCTGGCATTAACTGTTTGATTAAGGAAAGTTAAACTGATCCGGGTTTTCTGTAGTTTTGATTCTAAGCTCTGGATCTTTTTCTTTTTTTGATGAAAGTGTCAATCTTGGATTCTAATCTTCATAATTCTGAGATTGGTTGAACTGGAATTTCAGGGGTTTGAGAGTTTTTTGGAATTTCCCTGAGGTATCTGTTGGTGTTGTGCTGCTGTAGTTCTGATTTTAAATGTTTTTGTGATTATAGCTATTTTGAGTGTACATATAGTTAAATTTTATGCGAATTTGATGAGAGCAAGTTCCCCCTTCGTGATATTTTGTGCTTCCTTAGGAGGAAATTACCTTGTGAGTCTCACAAATTTTTCAGGAAAAGAAAATTACCATAGATAAATCAACTTGCAAAAGGAAAAAGGATTTTAAAAAAAATAAAAAAAACCCACCATTTTTATTGTGGGTTTAATAGTTTTGGCGTTGCTCAGATAAAATTTATCCTTCTTCCAAACAAATTGATATACTAGATGTGTTGTTGAGTCTAGATTAGGAGATAAACGGAATTGTAGAGTATTTTAGGTGCCGGGCTATTGCTGGTCTATGGGAATACCTTATAATTTGATATTGGATTTGATTGAGAAGGCTAAATCTTGGATTTCTTGGGGAAAGATTGGTCTAAATTCCATATCCGGTGAACTTCAGATGACTGGTAAAAGTTGCAAAATTTGTTACCAGTGTGATAGCAATTTATCAGAATTTTCCCTCAAGTACCAGTGTCGAAGTTGCGGAAGGGTATTGTGTGGGAACTGTGTGCACGAACTTGCATCTGGACATTTGAAAGAAACAAAGGAGGCAGTGTTTGACATCAAGTTTTGCAAGTTTTGTTTTGAACTTGGTCCCTGGAGCAACTGCGCAAGTATGTATAGTGGTAAGGTTTATCCTTCTGAATCTCCAAGACAAAGCCCAGAATCACCATCACCAAGTTTTAGTGGTGAGAGATTTGATGATCTTTCCGCCTGCGCACTGGCTAAAAATATGGACACATCATTTTTGAATCATCCATCTCCGGTGTCTGATCCACGTTCACCAAGCAGGTATGTGCCAGGGTATATTGTTGCTTCAAAGTTTTTGGATCACGTGTTCGTAAATTTTGAATATATTACTTACTATGTATTGGTATTTGGCAAAGTTTATTATTGTTGAATTTTGTTTATACCCTGAACTGAAGTATTCTGATTCCTTGAATGCTAATCAAATACAAATATATCATTTTGATATTAACTACCAAGTCAGACGTGGCTAGTCAGAATACGTCCTAGCAAGTGAAGTTCAGATTTAAGATATGCAGTTAAACAAGACTTTTGAGGTTGTATGTCAATTTATTTGAACTTTTGTATAGTAATTTGTATGCTTATATGTATCACATTAACATTAGTGGTGTCCTTGGGTGTTTTAGAGGACATAATATTGAAGATCTAAGTTTGATGAGTTCACACATGGTCTGCTATAATTTGCTCTTCCTGGGATTAAAATTTTTGTGGTTCTGTTTGTGATTGCAGGAGTGACGAAGATGAGGGCGATGACTCCACAAGTTGCTTTCTCAGCACATCAAGTGAATACTTACATTACAATTCTGATGTAGATTTAAGTAGTGTTAGTGCTAGGCATGGAAATTATAGTTTTTTATCTGTTGGATCAAGCCCTTCAGACAGCCCCTCTAGGATCCATATTACATCCAATGGGGGTGGGCATCATGTACAGCAAGAGCAAGGTGGAACAGCTAGATCTCAGAATGATGGTCCCTATGATCAAGAGTCTATGGCTGTTTTAAAAGGGACAGGGGATCCCGAAAATGTCCATCATTTGTCTATAGTCCAGAATAAATGTGAAAAGCCACTGGATTTTGAAACCAATAGTCTCATTTGGTTACCTCCACCACCAGATGACGTATCTAGTGAGGCAGAAAATAATTTCTTTACTTATGAAGATGAGGATGATGAAGTTGGGGAGTTAGGTGCTATGTTTTCCACTACAGATAGTCTGGATAGCATGTTTTTGACCAAGAAAAAGCTAAATCATGTTCACAAAGAGCCCCTGAAAGCTGCTGTGCAGGGGTATTTTAGGTCTCTTGTAGTGCAGCTGTTGCACGCGCATGGTATATTGGCTTCCAAAGAGAACTATGCTGAGGACTGGCTTGATGTAATTATGGAAATAGCATGGCAAGCTGCGAACTTTGTGAAACCAGATACTAGTAGAGGAGGCAGCATGGATCCCTGTGACTATGTTAAGGTTAAATGCGTAGCATCAGGAAGTCCTAGAGAGAGGTAAACATCTGGTATTATTGAGTGATTTCTTATCCACGTTGTTTTATCAGATTCATTTGTGAAAAACACTGCACTTATCATTAGATACTTTAAAAAAAATAAAGTTAATTCATTCTTCATGCAGCATGTTTATTAAAGGGGTAGTTTGTTCCAAGAACATAAAACACAAGCGCATGACATCACAATACAAGAACCCTAGACTACTACTCTTAGGAGGAGCTCTTGAGTACCAAAGAGTTCCCAATCAGCTTGCATCTTTTGATACATTACTGCAACAGGTTCATTCTAAATTATGGGTGTTTTTTTCTTTTCTTTTTTTTTAAAAAATATCAACGCTATTAAGTATGAATTATGAATTTATTATTGAATCAGGAAAATGATCATCTGAAGATGATTGTTTCAAAGATAGAGGCCCATCGTCCAAATGTGCTGCTTGTGGAGAAAAGTGTGTCTTCATTTGCTCAAGAACATCTGCTAGCAAAGGAGATCTCGTTAGTTTTAAATGTTAAAAGACCTCTGCTGGAGTGGATAGCAAGATGTACTGGTGCTACTTTAACTCCGTCAATTGATCATTTATCCACGACACGGTTGGGCAACTGCGAACTTTTCCATTTGGAGAAAGTTTCAGAAGGCCATGAGCCGCTGAATCAGTTCAACAAAAAACCCTGTAAAACCTTAATGTTTTTTGAGGGATGTCCCAGGCGGTTAGGTTGCACGGTAATTTTTAATTTTTAATTTTTTGGAATTTATAGTGTGGTATTTATTATTTTTATCTAAGCACGCATCGTATGAATTGATGATTTCTGCTTCCTGATCATTCTACTATTGCTAGTTGTCAAATTTTGTCATGGACCTCCTTCCCAATCTCGTTCATTTTTTTGTCTAGTGCATCCTAAAGAAATATTCAGGTTATATTTAATAACATGGGAATGGGGGAAAGCAGGAGGAAGAGGGAACTAATTCTATTCTGCATTTTTAGGTTGTACTGAAGGGATCATGTCGTGAAGAACTTAAGAAGGTGAAAAGTGTAGTACAGTATGCTGTCTTTGCGGCATATCATTTATCACTTGAGACCTCTTTTCTTGCTGATGAGGGTGCTAGTCTTCCTAAAATGGCAGTAAAACCTTCATCCTCAATGTCAGAGCGGATGAGTCCTAATAATTCTCTCTCTGTGATCCCTATTTCTACTGTTCCCTCCAGTTGCCCTGAAGAACTTGATGCCTCTAGCATCGATGTAGGACCTGCAGAATTCCATTTGGAGCTTGGGCTACACGAGTCGCTGTCTGAACTTGGTCATGCTAGTTCTGATGATGCCTGTTTGACCGATGAGTACAGATTTGTAAATGCACTCTCTGATGCATGCGATGATAATTTGGCTGGCTTTGGAAATTATGCACGGGCAGGATTGATAGGTCAAGAAGAGGGCCCATCAGGTGAAGTTTCTGAACTTGCTGCACTTCAGAGGGTTGATGAGATTGAAGACTCAAGTGAATATTGTTCATCTAATGATGGTCTCCAGAGCATATTAGTTTCTTTTTCCAGTCGTCGTGTGCTAAATGGAACTGTATGTGAACGTTCTCGACTCCTGCGTATCAAATTCTATGGTCCATCTGATAAACCATTGGGGAGGTATCTGCAGGATGATCTATTTGATCAGGTAACCTTTCTTTTGGGCCTGCCTTTCCTTTTGCCTTGTTGTCTAGTTGCTATAATTATTCATTGCAATTTGTATTGCCAGTCATCTTGCTGTAGATCATGCAAGCAGCCAGCTGAAGCCCATGTTATGTGCTATACACATCCGCATGGGAATCTTACAGTAAACGTCAGACACGTCCCCTTGGTGAATCTTCCTGGGGAGCAAGATGGAAAGATATGGATGTGGCACAGATGCCTCAGGTGTGCACATAGTGATGGAGTTCCGCCAGCCACTCAAAAGGTGGTGATGTCTAACGCTGCCTGGGGACTTTCTTTTGGAAAGTTTCTCGAGCTTAGTTTTTCAAACCATGCAACTGCTAACCGTGTTGCAAGCTGTGGTCACTCTCTGCAACGGGACTGCCTCAGGTTTTATGGGTAAGTTTAATATTCAGTTAGATTTCAGTTCCATTACTGTTGTTCATGAACATGATCATCAGAACAATTTTGTTAGTTGTAATAGTGGTAAAACAATGATCTGTTTTTCCTCTCCATATTTTGACAGGTTTGGGAGTATTGTTGCTTTTTTCCAATATTCTCCTATTGATATTCTCTCTGTGTATTTGCCGCCATCAATTCTCAAATTCAATGGCCATGGTGAACAGACCTGGGTACGAAAAGAAGCATCTGAGGTTTGTAGCACATTCAAAAAAATTTTCTGGTTTTTGTTTGTCTCTGGAGATATAACTAAATTATTTATGTCTGCATTACAACAATCTGCCTTTCCTTTCCTTAGCTTTTGTGCAAAGCCGAAGCCTTGTATGCAGAGATATCAGTTGTTCTTCATCAAATTGAACAGAAAAGCACATCTTTGACAAATGAATTCTCCAAGGCGATTGAGTTGCATTGTCACATATTGGCGTTAAAGAACATGCTGGCAACAGAGTTGAATCATTACAAAGTGAGTACTTCATCCAGTTCATCACTGTTCATGTGCTTAATGTAAATGTGTTCTAGTGTCCTGGCTTCTCTGACTTATTTCTGTTTGTTTGAACAGGATTCGCTTCTATTAGTTGATGAAGAGATTTCAGACCTAGGTCATGTAACTGGTGACATTCTTGAAGTTAATCGATTGAGACATTCGCTTCTGATGGCTTTACATTTTTGGGATCGCCGGCTATATCTATTGGACTCTCTTCTTAATAGGAGCTCCAGTCCCAATCCTCTGAATGATGATGCAGCTCATAGTTGCTTGAAAGAATATGATGCATATTTGGCAGATAGTAGTATTGAGTTTGGTCGTGAAGATAATGTCCTTGAGTATTTAAAATTAGATGAATGCCCAAAAAAGGCTGTATTGTCCGAAGACGAGCCCAATTTTTTGCTATTGGAGTCTAGTTTGCTGGAAAACTCCATATCAAGCAAATTCAAGCAGAATGCAGAGGACAAAATGCAAGCAGACGAGGAAAATGCTGTCAACAATGCATCATTAGAACGCCTCCAATCAGCTGGGTCCATTCTTTCAGATAAAATAGATTCTGCATGGACAGGGACAGATCAGCCTCCAATAAAAGCACCGTTGCCTGAAGCACTTAAAACTGACGAACCTGTATCCACGGTATCCGAGCTGATAAATCGAAAAGAAAATCCATCTTTTAAAAGACTGATGTCACCTGCCAGAGTATACTCCTTCGATTCTGCTCAGAGACTTAAAGAAAGAATCAGTAAAGGACTTCCTCCTTCTACATTGCATTTGTCTAATCTCAGATCTTTCCATGCTTCTGGAGATTATAGATGTATGGTCAGAGATCCTGTTCCAAATGTACAAAGGACATATTCTCACGAAGCCAATTTAAATCTTTCAAAGGATCTATCACCCTCTTTTATCTCTTCTATTTCTCTTTTGCCTGAAGGAGCAAGATTGATGATCCCACAAAATGTTCAAAATGAAGTTGTTATTGTTGTTTATGATAATGAGCCCACAAGCATAATATCGTATGTTCTTAGCTGCAAGGAGTATGAAGAATGGGTTGCTGATAAGCCAAATAGGCTTGAAGGAGGATCAAATATAAGTCGAACCAAAAGGGTGAATGCTTTAGCTTCTGACCTTTCTACATGGCACTCATTTGGTTCGCTGGACTTGGATTACATAAACTATGGAAGTTATGCCTCCGGAGATGCTTTGAAGACTGAGAGTTCTCAATCCACAGACTCCAAGAGTTCTCCTCATCTAAGAATTTCTTTCGAAGACGAGTTTTCAAGCGCTGGTGGAAAGTTGAAGTTTTCTGTTGTATGTTACTTCGCAAAACAGTTCGATTCTCTTTGCAAGAGATGTTGTCCCAACAAAGTGGATTTTGTACGTTCCTTAAGCCGCTGCAGGAGATGGAGTGCTCAGGGGGGAAAGAGTAATGTTTATTTTGCAAAGTCATTTGATGAACGATTCATAATCAAACAAGTAACAAAGACTGAGTTGGAATCCTTTGAAACATTTGCACCTCAGTATTTTAAATATTTAATGGATTCTCTCAGATCTGGAAGTCCAACTTGCCTAGCCAAAGTTCTTGGTATTTATCAGGTTAGACCTCATTTATTGTTTTTGTTTGTTGTTTTTTGTATATGTGTTTCCAATCTACTGTTTTATCTAGGTCATTGTCAAATATCCAAAAAGCGGCAAGGAAACAAAAATGGATTTGATGGTGATGGAGAATCTCTTCTTTAAAAGAAGTATCTCAAGGGTGTATGATCTCAAGGGCTCTGCACGATCTCGTTATAATTCAGATACAACGGGAACAAATAAAGTATTATTAGATATGAATCTTTTAGAAGCACTGCGTACAAAACCTATATTCCTTGGAAGCAAAGCAAAACGGAGCCTGGAAAGAGCCATTTGGAATGATACATACTTTTTAGCGGTAATCTGCTTTCATGTCCTATTCTTGATGAAGTTACTGAACTTTGATCACTAGTTTGAAGCTTTTCACAATAATGTTTATTCTTACGAGTGTCTCATAAAAGAATACTGATTCCGCCTGTAAGTTTAACAAGGGGTATACTCTATGCTATGGAAGTTGCTATGGATAGTTGGAGAAAAGCGCTAAGTTTTTGGCAGGAACATGTTTCCGATAAAAAAAGGGGATTTTTCTTTGTTATAATGTACAGATTCGTTGTCGAGGAAAATTAAGGAAAATGGTGCTTGGATGGGAATTTATGTCGAATCTTTTTATTCTTATTTTTATACTGAATTGATTAAACAAGGAGGTTATGTTAATCTTCATGATCTTTTGTTCCTTTTCTTGATCACAGTCTGTTGATGTGATGGACTACTCTCTGTTGGTTGGGGTGGACGAAGAGCGCAAGGAGCTGGTTATAGGGATAATCGATTTCATGAGACAATATACTTGGGACAAGCAGTTGGAGACATGGGTAAAGGCATCTGGCCTACTCGGTGGACCAAAGCACGAGTCTCCAACCATTATATCGCCAAAACAATACAAGAGAAGATTCAGAAAAGCAATGACAACCTACTTTCTTACAGTCCCAGATCAATGGTCATCGTAAGCATTAAAGTTTCTTCATTTCACGCACCTCCTAGGTAAATTTGTCTATGGTATGGCTGGTTTAGTTTGGAACCCTTTGGTCGAGGCACTGCTTCTGATTCCTTTGTAGAGCATCAGTTAATAATGGTCAAAATAGAGAGAATTAATTGCACAAAATTGGAGAGAGTAAATTCTGCATTCTAGTTTTTCGATTTTGGTTTTTTCCGTTTGTGGAGGCCTTCAGCCCCTAGAAGAAACCACACAAATGCAGGTGGGAGAAACTCTATTACAGACCATCGTACTTGTAAATTTTTGTAAATATGTACAATTTTTATTGACAAATACGTTGAATTTGTTATTTATTGGCTTCTGTTGAACCTATCTATACAACGTTTTGCAGCATGTTAGCAGAAGTTTTACGCACGTTTCCCTGCCCTATCTGTTTTAAATTTCGTTTTCATTGTTGGTTGAACTGGAATTTCTGGGAGAATTTGTTCAGTATGAAACCTGAACTTAGCAGGTTGCGTGCATGTAGATATCTACATTTTTTCAAGGCCTTTTTCTCTTGTTCGTGTGCAATGCCTGCATAGTGTGTCCTTTAAGGCAACTGAGAATCAATTTTCAATTATATTACTCCAAGTCTTGCTTTGGCTTGAAGCCAGAAAAAGAAAAAAAAATGATATTATATACTATGTTCCTGGGAGATTAAGAAATGAACTTGATAATGAACGGTGCCCTTTAAGAAAGCAACTATTACTGAATGCTTTATTGGATTTTTTGACTCCATGACTTAAAAAATTCATGCTACATATACATGTTCAAAAATCGATGAGACACGTGTTGACGTATGATTGGACAGTTTGAAAAATTAAAACAAAAAAATCAATCATCATCTACTGTCAAATCAGTCTTGTCTCCTTCTCTTCCCTGATTTTAAGCCTGATTAAATGGTTTTATTTGACTTAAAATTAGTTGTTCTATTTTTAAATGATGGGTTATGGAATATAACATTAAAGCATCCATGAAAATTCAAACGGGTTAAAGTGTAGGTAGGACAAATGTGGCAAGACGAGAAGAACAGTTATGTACGAGTTTCAACCAAATTTGTAAAATAATGAAAAACGCCTCCAAATATGATTTTCAAGAAATAATGCAAAATTTCTTTGTTAAAATGATGTTTAAAAGACCATTTCACTTTTTATTCAAAACGATTAATCAATTGCGGGACTAGAAAATATAATTCCTGGCAAGATTGCAGTTAACATTTATACAGAATGAAAAATGTGTAATTATCTGCATAATTTTGAATACCTTTTTCAAGAAAAAATTATTTCCAGAATTAAGAACCTTAGTTTTGTATTGCACAATTGAAAACAGTTAGTCAAAAAAATTTCATTGAGTTCCAATATGGCGATTGGAACTTAAGGTACTTACAATCAAGTTGACAAGGATTGACATTTCATATTATGATCGATGATCATAGAGAACCTTTTTACCGTTGCATAAATAAGCCATCAAAATTCACCTTTGATTCACTTGAAGATAATCAGAACCAACCAGGTCTAATTTTGATCCTCAAAGACTTAACGGAGTTTCACCAACCCCTTTTTTTGCTTATTCTGACAATGCGTCCCCACCTCTTCTTGTCATATCTTCTAAGGAAATAAATCTCACGTCGATTAAATACCGAAATATTAATCAACTTAAATAGATCTTGGGTCACTCACCTTATTAAGATGGATCTCAAATCTTAACGTGGTATCAGAGCCCAGTAATCTACAACGAGCTATTCGATCCGATTAAGTCTCAAAAATGAGCACACAGATTTCAAAATTAGTCTGCTAAAAAGGAGCCACCATTTTGTGGGGGCATGTTAAAGGAATAAATCCCACATCGATTAAATATCAAAATATTGATCAATTTAAATAGATCTTGGGCCACTCCTTTTAATAAGGTTGATCTTTTTAAAATGGACCTCAAATCTTAACAATATTCTTATCCTACATGGTATTACATAAACAAGCTATAATAGCATTTCATCTCTCTTGAGGACTTAAGTCCATTGTCTAAAGACGTTCGGCATGTAAGATTAATGACTTATTTCTGGTGCATTACAACAAAATAAGAAAAGTGAACTTACTGGGATGATATATAAGGGTGAATACATCTCCCTTGTCATGTATAGTATTCTTTATTGTCTCAGAATAATGAAAAAGATTTAATGTACATGGTCGACCATGAACATCTACTCTTTCACAATCCCTCTTGAAGCTCAACCTAAAGCTAAACTTTCATTCTCAGCTTCTTAACATTGCCACATATATATATATACACACAAAAAGTAACAGAAACATTAGATCTGCTAGTTGTTGGGAACTCTTATTAGGGAATTCCGAGTGAAAATGTAAATGTTGGCTATGCTATTTGTTTAACTTGCTTCAAAAGTATGATTTCTTGGCAGCTAAGAAGCCATAGCAAGTTGGATCTCTCCTTCCATTATTGGCGAAAACCCGACGCGTTTCTGCAAATATTTACGAGCAACAATATAAATAATATAAACTGAATTTAAACAAGATATAAGAAAGGATGAATTTCTGTCAAATGAAAACATCAGTAAATTCTATTTGTTATAAATGACCTTACTTTTGTATATACTCTTCAAAGTCAATTCGACGTTTGGTTAATAATTACAAATTATTTATAATCGACAAAGTCACGTTTTATCTATACATTTTGTGGGATAAAAAATATCACCATTTATTAATCACTTATTTTTACTGATTTATAATTTAAATTATGTATAAAAACTATCTAAAACAAGTTTGGGAGCTCGATGTTTTTTTGACTTTTTCTATTTGTTTAGCGGCAGCCATTTTGACCCAATTTTGGTACTATTTTGAGAGTATCCAAATCCATTAGGGATCAACTAATTGGAAAAATGGTTGTCAAAAACAAGTGCCTAACATTCTTTTTTATTATGTACCTGAAATTTTAGATGACTACTTGAAATCAAATAAGGTAGGTTTATTGGATTTTTTTTTATTTCTTTTCTTATGAAACTATCACTTAGGCCAAGCTTACCACCGACATGGATAGAAGGAGAAAATATGAAAAACAGATCAACATGCTTTCCTTCTACAAACAACTTTGCAAGAAATCGACCCAAAAAAAATAATATTGGTATTATCAAGCAGTTAAACACCAAAATCTTGACCTACATGCCCGTTTCTGTGTCTATCCCTAACAATTGAGTGGTTTGTGGAACCCTATTTATTGAGTAAGTAAACAACTTCATACAGTATAGGTTGGTTTCTTGTCTGTACAAAAAGAAGAAATAACCAACTAATTCTAGGTTGGTTAGGACGTTGTCACAAGGATGATAAAAATGTTAAACAGTCAAATCCCTTTAAATCCCTAAGCAATGATGCTATAAAAACTATGGATTCATTGGCATGACTTTAAAGTTACTCCTAAGATTAAGAAATTATTTTTAAACATATTTGGATAATAAACTGAAAGTGCCCTATCTAGCTAAAACAATTCGAAGAAGAAGCTGACTTAAGGTGACTTATTCGAGAAGCTATTTGATAAAAAATCAGAAGTAGAGGTTGTACCAAAACGCTTCAAGTACAACTAAGAAAGTCAATCTATATAATTTATTCTTAAGTCCACTAATCTATCTTAAGAACATTCATGCATCTAATTTTTTTTTATTTTTTATTTTTTAAATTAAAATCACTTGTCAATCCCCACAAGCATGGCACAAGAAATGGATCGAATTTCATACCTCGCGAGATTTGAGGCCACTTTTCATGATACCATGATCAGCCTTCCAATTCCCATGTTGCTGCATTGATGCACCACCATGTTGAACCTTGTTGGGTTCCAAGGTGCTGACAAAGTCGGTGGTGGCGCCGGTGTTGGCCATATAAAGGTTGGCAATTTTCTCTGCCACCTCTGACTCATTCTTGCTATCCATCATCAACTTCTCCAACTCCGCCTTGGGAAGCCTCAACTTCAACCTCACTGCACCGCCATTTTCTGACTTTTCTTGAACCGCAGCCTCCTCGTCGACAGCAAGGCTCGGTGGTTTCATTATTGACAGATCCGATACAGACCTTCTCGCCAGCATTAGGCTCTCGAGCCGGTCCTTGGCACTCATTTGAATGCCTGACCTAACTCGCCTCGGGTTTTTCTCTTGAGGAAACTTGGGCAATTCTACCAGAAAATAGAGCCTTTTTGGCTTAAGCTCTTGCTGTGGTTCTAAGGGTTTTGCTCGAATCCCATAATGTTTCACTGCCTCGGATTCTAACAAAACGAACCCTGGATGGTCCTTTACTACATCCACGGCACGTACTGGAATCTTGAATTTGATCATTTGGCCATCAATTTTCATGACTTTCGCAGTCTTTTTTCCGCCTAAACTATTTCCCATTTTCTTTGTGTTCTTCTTGAAATGAATGAAGAGAACCTTTCTTGATTTTGGTATCCTTTTGGGACCCTCTCTATTGTTATCAGATAACTCAAATGAAATCGATAGGTGCAAAGCGAAACGGCACTCTTTTATTGGGGGTGGGGCATTATGGGTCAAATAAAGAGCCCAAATTGGCAGCGTCTTTGACAAATTGACAAGTTAATATCTTATAAAGTAAATAAACGTTTTTCAATATTATTAGAACAATGAAGGTTCCTAACTTTTATAATAAATGCAAATGAATCCTCAACTTTAGCTGTCGTTCCAAACTTTCGAAAGTTCAGTAGCCAGATTCCAAAGTGAATCAATCTGGCCAATGACACTAGTCATGGTGTTGTGGGATGTCGATATCGTTGGTTGTGGGGTGGGGTGAGAGTTGTATATTTCTTTTTCTTTTTCTTCTTTTTGAAACGTGTATTATTAAAGTAAATGGATTGTTTTGCTTAGAAAAAGGTGAGCGGGGCTTCTATTTACTTATTAAACACCAAAGTGAATAAATTTTGTGGATAAGGACCTCTGATTGTTACACATAAGAAAATCAAGTTTAAAGGTTTGCAATTAATTTCTCTTGTTGCAACGGTAAAGGACCTCTGCTGCAATTTTACTTATTTATTAATTCTTTTATCCCCGGCCATCAAATTTACGTAGACTTGTTGAGACCATGATGCCTCAAAGTTCAAAGTTCAAAGTTCAAACTTGCTCTACTCCTACTTTTCAAATTCTATATTTTTCTCTTATGAAAATACATTTTGGCAGCATTTTCCTATCTCCCAAAACCTCGTGGATTTGCGGCAAAAATAGACTTATTTTCTTGTTGAATGAAAATTACTTGCGTTAATCACGGTATGGATACTAGATTCCATTTACATGTGGGGTTTCGATTGGAAGTTTGATGGATGAAATGTGAAAACAATCAATGAAAAGTATGCTGAGTTGACAAGCGTTTTACATTTAATTTGTATCAAATAAAATCGCAACATGTACAAGATCTAATTCACTATGTGTTAAAGTTTAACATGTGAACGTTCATTAATTATGTAAGCGTGAAACTAGAACTCAGCTCCTCCTTTGGTATTTATTAAATTTCATTTTATTATATTCCATTTTTCTCTTTCATATTTTCAACCACACAATTTTTCGTAAAATAATATAAGACGTAAATCGAAAAAAATTTCTTCTTTTTCAATTACTCATTTTTCAAAAAAATACTATTCCAACTATTTTCATTTCCAAACAAGAGGACCAAACGGGGCCCAATATTTTTATATATTGAGCAGATTCATGAAAGTCGATAAGAATTTTATTTATTTAAATATTTATATTTATTTAAAAAAGTATTATACGACTTCTTATTATTTGTGTTCAACATCTTGAAAATTATGTTTGACTAATTGATTTATTTTCCTGCATGTCACGTGAAGTCCCATCCCTCGTTTGGCTGCCCATATAAATGAGAATCTATAAATAACTGAAAATTTCAATTCAAAAGTATGCAAGTCAATAATCAATGAATTTGATTAAGAATTTGTTCTTGGAATTAATGCCATAATTTACTTCAAAAATATGCAACACATTTGTGTTGTATCCTTCTCAAATTACCCAATTTAATTTGGTTCCTGAATTTCTCAATATCTCGAGCACTGGATATTGAGATTGGACTTATTTTCGCTCTTATAAAAGCATCATGTTAATCACATAACACATGATTGAACATTAATATAGTAGTTGCTTCAGAATAAAACGAAAACATGCATAGAAAATTTTAATCGACAAGATAATAGAAAGAAATGATATTTTCGTTATTGGAAGAATTTGCACAAACCCATGAACCTAATATGTAGTAAGATTAAATTGGTGGTTGTAAGGGCTGTTTTACACATCTATTTGCCTACTCAAATGATGATTATATTAATAAAGTTAAATTAACTTTTTAATCTATAAAAAAGTTAAAATATTGTCAATTCTTACTTGTCCAAACACAACATTGAAATACTGCTAACAATACGATTCTTTTTTAATTACTTTCCGTTTTAACATTTTGTTATTAAAATATATTATGTAAACGGTTGCACAATTTTATTAGTAGAAGATAACGAGTACATTAGTTACATATAATTTATTCAAAAACGTTATAAATCAAAGAGAAAATAGAGAAAGTCAATATATTTATATATGTAATTTATTCAGAAACAATATCCAATATTTATAGGTTACCATTAGAGTTGCGGGGTACAAAGGTTATTAATAAATAGTAATTTATTTATAAATCTCCCCCTTAAACCATTATTTTGCATACTAATTATCTCGTTAGAAATTTCGTTAGACAAATATTCGATAGAACAAAAATACCAAACAATGGAACAAAATCTAGTGCAATAAAATATCATCTCATTAAAACCTTATCAAAAAAATTCAATGAGACAAAATTTGAGTGAATGAAAAATAGTACAGGCTCAAATACTCCCCCTAATCTCAGTTAATAAAAATCCTTGTACCGAGTTTTCATATTTTGTAAGTCGATGTCTTCAATATTACAATTATGATGAAGTAGTTCATGTTATCCTGTTATAGCTTTCAAACACTACCCTCTTCATACGAGATATCTATCTTTTAGTAAGTATGATTGTCCATTGAAAAATAGATTTTGTTGTTGCTCTCCTCGAGAGTCTCAAACCCAATTTGTAACATATAAAAATATTATTATAACGGTAAATATTTTGTATGTTATAGACATTAATTATACAAGGAATAGTCTCGTTAAAACCTTACTAAGAAATATCAATTGGAAAAAATTCTAATGAAGAAAAATATTAAATTATTACTTTAAGTAAACTACAAAAGTCATTTTATTAAAAAATTTGTGAGGAAAATTCAATATGATAAAATTTTAATCAAGAAGATAAGAGAGTACAATGCGTATTTACTCCCGTTACGATAATATCACTTTAATTATATGCTATGACATATTAAATTCTTCATGGATAGTACTACTTATCATGTCAGATGAGTTGAGTATAACAATATTTATTATACATATATCAAATTTAATGCATTATCAAGATAGTAAGATATAGACGTATGATTCTTCATTATGTTAAAAATTGTACATTACAAATTATGACTTTATTTTTCTCAATTTTCTTTTCGTATAAGTATACATCTTTAGGTGTTTGAACTATATGTCAAAAAAATTCATATTTCTCTAGTGAGTTCAATTTTGCTATGATTGCGTCTTTTTATTTAGTCAGTTATTTAAAAGGCATTCTTTTATAGTCTTCCTTCAATATCTTCGTTATAATTCATAATAAAGATCTTTAAATCAGTGTTGTTAGTATCTTTTTCTTGTCAATTTTTCACTTATTTTTCATAATGACATAATTTATTGAGATATCTGATTTTCAATATTTTAGATATATAAGCCTCTTCTATTGTTTTATAGCTTGCGTGCCTTGCATATATACTGACTAGGAGTATATGTCTTCTCAATTGAACCATTTTTACTATTTGCATCATTTTCTTTTGGGGATTTTGACTTCACATCAAATATCACCATGCTTCATGCATGTCATTGATTTATCAATATCATCAAGTAATTGTCCTTTCAAAATGATAATTTGAGTTGGAAATTTAAAGTTGGTGTGAAAAATGCTGTTAATCTGTTTGATCAGTAAATGTATTTAAATGAATTATTTTTCAAACTTTTGATTCAATTTTTTTTGTGTCAGCACCTAATTAATATATTGGTTTATTATGTTTATTATTTTCATCTTCCTAATTTCTCTTTCTAATGCTGAGAAAATTGTTCAATCAAAATTATAGTCGGCAAACCGTGTTATAAAATATCATTTGTTAGAGTTTAAAATATTTTATAAAAGTTCAAATAAATATGTATTCTAACCATTCTTTCATACCCCATCTCAGTGTATTGTGTGGAGTGACCATACATTTGTTGCTCCAGAACATATATTTAGATGAGAAATATAATTCTTATGACGATAAGCCGAAATGGAAAACTATGATATTGTCACGATGAGTAACAATGACGCTATATGTAAAAAATTGTATTTCGTAAGCAAAAATGAGAAACATTTTGTCCTTAATAGTAATGATTTAGCAATTGATTTGAGGTATTCGTATGATTGGCTGAATCATGAGTTATAGAATACTCAACCATTAAGAGAATAATTTAACAAACTTCAAGTTGCAAATATTTATTAACACATACAATCACACGTTATGTATCTATTATACAAATAATATTTAGATGGTCAATATGAAGGGTTGCGAGTACTACATATCATTTAGTTAATTTTCAAAATTTTAGGGATACAATATCAACTTTAGATAGTAATGGTTGATGGTCAATTTTCAATAAAAAGAACATGCACCATATATGAATTCATTGCATTAAGAAATCTTTTGTTTCCTCAATTAATATATATTCAAATTCTCATTTCATTATTACTGATGCATTTATGTTCTAACTGATCGTGTCAAATAATAATATATTTAAAGTTATTAAACGTTCAATACATTGTTTACATCAATTGTATCAATATAACCTTCAAACTTTTTCTTTTTTCTCATTCAGGGAGTAGTAATATAGCTTATTAAATTATTTACTTTATATTTCAGAATAAAATCAATTAATTTTATTAAGTTTTGTGACATTCAATAATAGCCCAAATATTTTTAAACCAAAATTATAATGATTTGGTGTGTTTAGGCCCACAAAGATGTGAACACTTAAGCAATTTACAATTGACTCATTCTCACAATTAACCAATGACCACATAAAATATTACAAATGCTCAATATCCAAATATCGAGTTCACACCAAAAGACAATAAAATTGATGAAATCATAATCATACAGATGGTATATCCATATTTATCCAAACAACAAAAACAATTGCCTTGGTCATGGCCAAACATGAACATCTAATTTATTTATTTTTGTTGTTTTTATGGGCCGTCGGACCAAAAATTTAACTCAATACAAATATGAACCAGTATAAAATAAATTTATTTGTTTGATCATTTGATTGTTGACAAAATAATATTTT